TATATATATATATACGCGTTACGAGTATAACAGCGATAAATTATTTGGAATCAATTACACGAGAATATGAACTTGGCAATAGTGGCGGAAATTCAGACGATCATCTCATTGCATTCAGGCAGTAGATCAATTCCTGCAGTCAGACACAAGGGATAAATCCCTGCGATATATAAGAGAAACAAAAGCTCCCTTTCTCGTTGAAGCAATCATAGAATTTGGCGCAAAATAAGGTTACAAGAGGGTAGTTACATCAGGTATTATTTAATAGAGATATTATCGTTCTCCACGGAAATCGAGTTTACTTTAAATGATCATTCAAATATCGCTTATTACCATTTAAAATTACTTACTTTCAATAATAGGATGATTTCCTCGAATTATGCACATTTATCAAACATTCATGCGATACTCATGATTAAAATGCTCCAAGCAGTTATATTTATTGTATCATCCATTGCAGTTATTTTAAAGAGCATTCAGATTAGCGAAACCTCAAGCAGAATCTCAAGCCAAATCTCAAGTCGAATCTCGAGCCAAATCTCGATTCGATGTGTGCCTGACATCGTTTAAAACTACTTTGTAAACAATAATTAATTCATCCATGAAATAATAAAGTCATGAGTCATTATGCGCAGATAGTCTACGAGCGTGATTTCCGAAAGAGCAAGAAGAAGCATGATCACATTGTCTTACATTAATTAATATTAACCAATAAAAATAATGTGCATTCCCATATATATATGTCCTTTCTATTTCTATGCAATTTATTGAAAAAAAAAAAAAGGTAGATAGTTATTATAAAAATTTGTCACGATTAGTCAAGTAAATAAGTGACTAAAATGTTTAAAAATTCATTGTCTTTCTAAAAGATGAAACATCTGCAAGAGCGATGTGACTTAATATGAGCGATTCAAGTTTCATACTTGGTGTACTGCACGCAAAAATATTATAATTAAGACAAATAACGTCATATAAATTAGACGTCATCGTGTAGCATTACTTGATCGTTTCTGATCTGATAATGCAATCGGTGATGCATCTCGCAGATGATATTTAATATACGATAATAGTCGAGCTTCAGAAACATGAATGTGTCATAAGCGTAGCTTACAACATCAAAGCTGCATACATATCCTCGCCTGGTGTAAGTGTATGTTTGAAGTGCGTTCGCATTGAAAACGTAGATGATCGCAATAAACCGATGTACCATAAAGATAATCACTAATCATAATGATCTCTTTCCGGGATGAGCGTACCACGCTCGTATCTGCTAATGAAAACTTCTTCCCGAATACGTCAAGTTGCATTTACGTCATTTACCGAGTATTTGCTGCTCCCGTTATCTCTGGTCTGTAAAAATCTTTTGTGATAATAATGTCTAGAAACTGATGGCCCGGTTATCTAAAATAATTTCAACATGCTTTCACGCATAAGATTGGAAATCCGTATAAAATTCATCATGAAAATAACGGATATATCCTTTATGTTCAGTTCTACCAATGTAAATTTACTTTAATTTTGATTTAATTTACTCTTATTTTTTTCTAATTTTTAGAACTAGAAAGAGACAAAAAATAAATCAAACCGAGTTTAGTCCACAAGTTAATTTACATTAGTAGAAACAGGTGTTAAAGATATTTTTATAAAAATTGCATTCAAGAAAGATATAGATGATGAGATACGAAGAGAGTTTTTTTTCTAAAGGATTAGACTCGGAAAGCTTTATAGCTAAATTTAATGTGCTCGCCATCATTTAACTGTTCTTTTTACGATTTCACAAATTACCTCGCAATCACTTAGCGAATGGTCAGTTGCCGATCAACAATGAACGAGTGGTAACATCCGACCTCTTATATGCTACAGGGAAAATAATTTCTTGCTTCAAGGGAAGCGAGCGCAGTTTATTTTCCGCGAATTTTTCTCCACACCTGTCAGGCATTTTTCTTCGATCGAAAGCGGACGCCACTTGTTTGGCTAATGGCTCGTCAAAACGACGCAATACGAGACGGCTCGCATTCCTGTACCAAAATATCGGAACCAAACAAAGCAAAAGACGGAATCTAGATGTACATACGATAACGTAAACAACTTTATCGACATTTAAACAAATTACACCGAATGCGTCCTATAGGATCATAAATCAAGTCTTGAACTCTCCATGCGCTCGCATTAACAATCTCGGCAAACAAAATATTTTTTCTCGAATAACAAACCGAACAAAAAACATAAATTTGTGATAGAATTGTACACCCTTCATTTAATTCATAAGTTATGCGATTGATCTACTTAGTAATTTTTTTATGGTTCGTCGGTTTAACAAATAGAAATTGCATCTTTTTACGATATTGATTTTTAATAATTATTGTCACCAATAATATTCGCGGACATAGTTATTCACGATAATTATACTAAACCCGATATTTTTGATGACTCGTCAATGCAACATTCCATTTTATTAAACAGCAGTTTGTGGAGAAAAACTGAGATATGATGCAATATGATGTATTTTTCAATAAAAATATTGAATAATAAATAAACTATAAAGAAAAATGCAGTTTTATAATTATGTGAAATGTAATGAAATACAAAGGATATTAAATTCGTAGAAGTATCTGGAAGAAAATTTGCAAATTTATAAAATATGCTTTTTGTATTGTTATAATTTAATTTGCATCGGAAGTATTTACATTTTCAATGCATTTTATTAAAAAAACGATTCATTAACAATTTCATTAGTTTGAATAGAGATTAACAAGATAAAAACGATTCAGTGCGTCCAAATTCATATCACTTATTTAAACGATGATATCATGATAGTACAGTTTGCTTTTAAAGTGTAACGGTCGTTTCTTACATGGTGAATTCATATTTCTCCTTTTCTTCTAGTCGTTTCTTACACGGCGTGCGCGCGCGCGAATCCATATTTCTCCTTTTCTCCTAGTTACATTTAATCAGGGTTGTGCGCATTACCTCAAAGAAGTAACGCGTTACCGTTATCGTCAATTTTTGAAAAAAGTAACTCGTTACCATTACTCGTTATCAATTTTTAAAAGTAACTCGTTACCGTTACCGTTACTTGAAAAGTAACGATTCGTTACTTTTTTGTTACTTTTCTTTATAATGCTAAAGTAAGTTATTAGATTTTAAAATTACAATAGCTGATAATTAATTTAATACTAAATGTGAAAAAATATTCAAACTTGAAATTCTCTACTAACTAGTTTGTACATAGAGCAAGCTTTTCTCTATATTAAACTTATCTAAAGTTTTACTAATTCTTTATTTTACTTAGATAATATCGTTATTTTAATGTACTCGTTTTTATAAGAATTTAGATTAAACAGATACTAGATTAAACATTGTTTTTAAACGTTAATGTTCCCTTGTGAAAATAAATCGATGAAATCTTTATCAATATATCCATTTCAGTATAATTCATAATGAAATGAGTCAATTGATAAATATTTCAACGATTTTCAGCGATTTCAACGATTTATTTCCATCATGGTTACTATTATGTGTATTTCAATATTTATTGTCGGTACCAAAAATTTACAGTAAATATATGTAATGTGAATTATATATTTTCAACATTAGCAGTGCCTATTAGAACACAGTATAAGATACTAAGTGCAAAATACTTTTTAAGAAATTAAGAATAAATTATAAAATAAGAAAAAAAAAATATATATATATATGTATAATAGGGAACTAAAGTAACGGTAAAAATAACGGCTAAATTCGTTACCGTTACTATAAAAATGTAACAACGTTACTGTTACCGTTACATACAGAAAAAAGTAACGAAAGTAGTAACGGTGTTACAAGTAACGCGTTGCTTCCCAACCCTGCATTTGACGTATGTATAATAAATAGCACTTGCAAAGATGTAAGAGAATATCTCTGATCGATTTCGGTAACTTCAACTTTTTTTAGTATTACATAAGTAATACTAAAAGTTCCACACTCGGTTCCACGTGCAACCCAAATTGCAATACGTTCGGTGAATTTCGTAATAATGCCTCTTACGATACGTTATCATAGAATATTATTACCATGAGACTTATTGTCGTTGAACAAACATTGTTTTGCATACGATGATGTAAGAAATATAAGCGGTATTTTTTTTAATAACAGTATATTCACAAAGACCGTTTACCGATATGGTGCGTTTAAACTACCTTTATAATATTATATTACATAACAAGACTGGAATGCGTAGACAATAAGTGACAATTAGTTAATACGACTGCCGCAACAGATCATAATAATAAAAGTTGTTAACCTGTATAAGAACGAAGCATATATGGTAAAAATGTGCAATATGCATCTGTGGAGTTTTTTGATCGACTCTTCGGCCGTATTCACGTAATTAAATGAAATCAGAGCCAATCAGATATTTCACTCACGGCGGTTTTCACGTCCAAAGCAGTTTATATCAAAATTGTTTGTATTTGCTATATAAATACATGTAAATATTACCTATACAAAATTATTTTTTTAATTATGGACGGGATCTGTTATACAAATGTTTTTGTTTAATAAAAGCAATTATTGGAGAGACAATTGCTTTTAATATCGGAGAGATCATCAATTATTGAAATATAAATATTAATAATAAAAGAAAAAGATCTTCAAGAATAAATCTTCAGTTTATCTTTTATTTAATTTATAGACTAAACTAAATTTTAAAAGAGCGTGAAAGACATAACTATTGGGAATATTTCATGTAAAAAACAAACAAGTTTCATATTGAAGAAATAAGTTCGTATATGGAGCACTATGACGCTAGGTTGTGTCTCCTGGCGAGGTGCCAATATTACAGATTTCGATTCATATCCCGAGAGAGAGAGAGAGAGAGAGAGAGAGAGAGAGAGAGAGAGAGAGAGAGAGAGAGAGAGAGAGAGAACGAATAACTCTTTGCAAAACCTGAATTAATAAAAAATGGCACGAGATTTCTGCGCGCGCGTGCGCTATAACATTATGAAAATATAACTAAAAAACTGAAATAAATGGGGAATTGATGAAAAATTATTTTGCAATTCTTAGTTATACGTATCAAATAACATAATTCTTTTTGCGATCTTTTTTATCTAACATTATCTATTTCATCATTTTCATAAAAAGATATTTCCAAGATTATCGGACAAACAGAAAATGATAACATTCATAAAGTCTATTTTTATTAATGTAGAACATCTATATCTCGATTTAATTTAATCTTCATCTTTTTCCAATTTTTGGAATTAGAAAAAAATAAAAAATAAGTTAAACCTAAATTAAAGTTAATCTACATTGGTAGAATCGGGTATAAGAAAAACGAATTGATCATCATCCCATTGATCCTAATTTCCTTCTTTAAATTATGAATCTAAAACGGAATACGTACACTAAGAAAAAAATAGCCTAAATTTAAATAAAGATTTATTTAAATACTGTCAACTAAACATTTACTTACATGAAATAAATATTTACTTAATAAAAAGAAGTGATTGTTAAATCAAATTAATGTTTTTTGTATCAAATAAATATATATTTATATATAATAAATATTTAGTTGATACTATTTACATAAATATTTATTGAAATTTAGGATATTTTTTCTCAGTGTAGAAAAATTGTTAAGAATTAGATATGCGACTCCTGTCGTTTATAATTTTTAAAGAAGAGTTTCCAATAAGCATATGTTACGTGTAAAATGTACGTATCGAAAGTTTTGTGAGTGAATTGCGCAGAAAATTTTAAAGTTAAGTATAGCTGTCTCTAACAATCTCCAAGATTTGTAATTAATTTTGACACATCACGTTTTAAAAAAGTATTCAGGGAAGAAATATTCAAAACCGTTCTAATAATTCTCATTTTGTTCATTTTGAAAATAAAATTTTGAAAGTGATTATAAATTGGTACGAAACATAGAAAATTTTGTTCTTAGTTTCTTGTGCAAAATTTATAACCATTTACAAAAATTTATCAAAAAGTGATAAAGTGATATTATGTACCACGTGTAAGTAAGTGTTATTGTCCAACATGGCATTGTCCTTCGCATTTTTTATATCTGTCATTACCAAGTAAAGATAAAAAATTACACAATGTAAGTAATACAATGTAGGTAACAAGTAAACGATAAGAGCGAGTCAGAAAAAATATTATTCGATGTATGCTGCGTACGTAACAATTATATTTGACATTCCTTGACTTTCAAATGAAAGTAATAATAAAAATTCAATTATATTCATAACACGTTTACTTTCGTGAAAAGTCATTAGAGCAAATATGCGCATGCAAAGAAATGTATTAACACTCTCTTATTAATACTCAGAAATAATCCATTAAAATCATAAAATCGCTATTATTACAATCATGATTATTATAAAACTTCGAGCAGAATTAGAAATTCTCATTCAAGAGGGTCGAAATAAAGTCCATTTGCCCTACATGAAATATAGATTAATAACGAAAAAATTAAAAATTTTGAAAATATTTTAGTATACAGTTCATCATAATTTGAACAATTAATATTCAATCTTTTGCTGCAAATTCACGAAATCGTTTTACCGGTTTTGAAATTTTATTTGTAGGAAAGTAAATTATAAAATTGCATTTCAAAAAATATATACTTTTATATGAAAGGAGCGGATATGCGAAAACAAAAATATGTCACACATGTATACGCAAGCGATAGATAGCATAGCTAGTAATTATTTCGCATTATAATTAGCGGAGTTTGTTCTTATAAATACGCCAAATAAGCAACATGAATCTCATTAGCACAATAGCCGTTCGAGTGTCTACTGTCAATAACACTCGGTAAAAACATGGGGTATAAGATTTTACATCTGCTGATCTTGGCATTTGCCGTAGTTTGTATCCAGGCTTATCAAAATTCAGATTCTTCAGAAGAAGAAGGTAAGTTCAAGTAAAAAAAATTATTAATAAATAGTAAAACCCAGGTCAATATATTAAACGAGCTATAGTTAGGTGTACTACTAAATAATATTTATTAATCACAAATTATAATTTTCCGACGATAAGTTTCAACGGTACGTTTCGACTATACTTAGTCCTCATCAGTCGCAGAAATACATAAATACCCAAATATCTATTATATTAACATTTTATGAGGAACATCTCACATTCGAGTTCCAATAGATAATATAACAGATTTCTAAGACTCATTTCACCTTCGTGTTACAAAGGACGATATATCGCAACCATATCATATGTAGTCAAACTTGATAAAGATAAACGATGTAGTGAAGAGTCATGATTCCGAACCAATCATCGGTTAATAGCGAGAAAGGGCAGTCAGTATGAATAAATGAATAAATTCCAGTCATATTAGTGATGGTAGCTTGATGTCAAATCATATAAAAGATTGTATGTACGTCCTTAATAATATTGGTAGAAAAACTAAATATTATATAGAATAAATTATCGTCACAATTGAAACTATAAAGACATTAAACAGTTGGCAACTTAAAACTATCTTTAGCACTTAAAAATATGTGGTAAACCGATAATAAATTATAACTTTATGTACGTATATATATAAAAATTTTATTGGAACAAAAGCACACCGCGAAACATAAATAACAAACGCTTTAAATTTATAATGTCAATTAACAAAATTAAATAATTATCAAGGAATAAAGAATAAAGGTTATGCAACTCTTACATTAATATGAAGGTAAATACAAATTATACATAATAGCAAGTTAGCAGCAGTCCATTAAAATAACCGATCTTAACTGTGAGAGAGTATAAACGCAAATGATACCATATGTTACATATCATTTGCGTTTATACTCTCTCACAGTTAAGATCGGTCTTGCATCAGTGAATATAACCGATTCTAAATTCTATATTACAATTTTAATAGACTGCTGCTAACTTGTCATTATGAATAATTTGTATTTACCTTCATATTAATGTAAGTTGTTGCATAACCTTTATTCTTTATTCCTTGATAATTATTTAATTTTGTTAATTGATATCATAAATTTAAAGCGTTTGTTATTAATATTCCGCGTTATGCTTTTGTTCTAATAAAATTTTTATATATACACGTACATAAAGTTATAATTTATTGTCGGTTTACCATATATTTTTAAGTGCTAAAGATAGTTTTTAAGTTACAAATTGTTTAATATCTTTATAGTTTCAATTTTGACGATAATTTATTCTATTTAGTTTTTCTTCCAATATTATTAAGGATGTACATACTACCTTTTATATGATTTGACATCAAGCTACATCATTAATATGACTGGAATTTATTCATTTATTTATACTGACTGCCCTTTCTCGCTATTAACCGATGAATTGGTTCGGAATCATGACTCTTCACTACATCGTTTATTTTTATCAAGTTTGATTACATATGATATGGTTACGATACATCGTCCTTTGTAACACGAAGGTGAGATGATTCTTAGAAATCTGTTATATCATCTATTGTAACTCGAATGTGAGAGGTTCCTCATAATATGTTAATATAATTAGATATTTGGGTATTTATATATATGTATTTCTGCGGCTGATGGGGACTAAGTATAGTCGAAACGTACCGTTGAAACTTATCGTCGGAAAATTATAATTTGTGATTAATAAATATTATTTAGTGCACCTAACTATAGCTCGTTTAATGTATTGACCTGGGTTTTACTATTTATTAATTTGTTGTAAGTTATACGAGCGAAAAGAATTGATATTATTTATATTGTAAAAAAATTATTGTCATTTGTAAACTCATCAAGATTTTTCCCTCACAACGTGATATATATACCATTTAAATCAAACATAAAATAAAGTAATAGTAATAATATATTGTAATAATAATAATAATACAGTTACTAACAATAATATACATTATTGTGGCATGTATCTTGCGTTTTTCAACCTTTTTCAATTGGCGACACATTAAATAACGAGTCAAATTTCTCAAAGTAAATCATTAAATAAACACGTTTCAATGCTAAGCAAAATTATAAGTTTATGAATTCCCGTCAAGTATTGTATGTTATAATGACTTACGTCAAAATTATTCCTATTCATTTCAATAAAAAGAAATATTGTGTGTGAAAGGGGGGATTTTAATAAAATAAATTTAAATATATAGAGAAAACTTTATAGATTTTATTTGATCAGGAAGTCCATATATTGTAGATTATTATTAGTGATATTTTAAATCATAATTATGTGTGATTGATGTGTATTCAACATTTTTTCAGATTCATTAAATGAATCCTCTTCACCGTCACCCATACTGACTAGAAAAGATGAAAGAATCGTGATGTCATCGGACATTTGTTCGAAATTTGCTGTGCAGATTTGTGACTTTTATAAATTTGTGCAGAAAAAAATTTGTTTGTTCCTATTAAGAAATCCCACATGTATACCTGGGCTGATATCACTTTTGAAAGAAATCATAAATAAATTTGGTGATTTAATTTGCTGTATTTTTAAATATAAAATAAAACTTTTAAAATCATGTGTTTTATGGTTAGGAGGATTAATTGGTAAGTTACATTTAAATGATATAAACATAGTCCTCAATTGTTTGACTGTATTAAAAATGTAATACCCAATGGTTTAAAATATATGACAGGCAAATTAGAGAACGCTGGAGGTAGCTGCGGTGCTGGAGGCTCAGGTGGAGGCTTAGGTGGAGGCTCAGGTGAAGGCTTAGGTGGAGGCTCAGGTGGAGCCTCAGGTGAAGCCTCAGGTGAAGGCTCAGGTGGAACCTTAGGTGGAGGCTCAGGTGGAACCTTAGGTGGAAGCGCAGGTGGAACCTTAGGTGGAGGCGCAGGTGGAGCCTTAGGTGGAGGCACAGGTGGACTCTTAGGTGGAGGCACAGGTGGACTCTTAGGTGGAGGCACAGGTGGACTCTTAGGTGGAACCTTAGGTGGAGGCACAGGTGGACTCTTAGGTGGAGGCTTAGTTTAGACTTAGGCCTTTTTTATTAGGGTGATAAATTACAACCTAAAATTATTTAAACTTGGCAAATTATATAATGACAATGGCAAGACTATTTGAAATACACGCATCGTATGTGCTAATAACAATAAAATTCCTTTCGCACGTCGATGAATGAATATATTTCCTATTATGCACTTGTATTTGTTTTAAGTATTAATATAAAAATTGATTATAATGATATAAATTGTTAAAAATGGTACTAAAAATATGTAATGCGTGTATATATATATATATAAGTTTATATGGCTAATGTGTAAAATATATGCAGCAAAATGTATTTCTTGGAAAATGTTTTATTTCGAATAATGTGAATGTTTGCGGAATATATAATTTAAAGAGATTATACTTTTATTGTATATACAAGGTGTCCCAAACTTTTTTATATGGTGGACAAGTAGAATGGAGTAAACTAAACCAAGAGAGAATAAAAGTTTCTTGTTTTAGAACGTACAATCGAATGACACTTTTAGTTTTTTAAAAATGGGCATTTTTAAACAATTTGTTTAAACAATTATCGTTTAAACAATCAATTTTGCAAAACGAAAAAACACGGGTAATTTTTTTTCGCTCATGTTATGAATTACATATTCAGTTTGACGCTATCACGGCTGTATTAGGCATGAGTTAATTTGGTAAGGGATTTAACTTCGCGCCAATTGTTGATATCAAATCTTTTTTACACGAATGATACATAAAATTTTGTAAAATTTAATTTATCTCCAGTTGTTGATATTAACTCTTACCGTATCATTTACAATTTGGTGCCTCATCCATACCAACCAGGGTTACTAGAATCTCTTCGTTTTTTCACCTCTTCAAAATATATATAATTTAAAAAATCTCTAAAAATTCACCAATATACTTCCAACTTTCTAGAATAAATATTGACTTTTCATTTTGGAAAATAATAAAATGTAGTATAATTTATAATTACCGAAAGATTCGTAAGTTGGGAAAAAATGGCATTTGATTTAAAAAATTATAACTTTTCATAATAAATAAATATAAAAAAATCACTCCAAGGTTTTGTAGTTTAGATATAAAGTTATGAAAAAAAAATACTAGAACTTCGAATTCTACAAAAAGTTGAATTATTTTTGAACACATAAATAATTTTCAGTAAGGGACATATAGAAAAAATCGAGTTAAAATACGCATTTTTTTATTTTGTTGTAAAATAATGTATTTTTTCATTAAAAAAATGTAAATTTTAATACACATTTAGATAAATATGTAAAGAAAAGCGTGACTCGCCTCTTCAGTTTTATCTATTTTGTCTAAAAAATAAATAATTCTTTTAGAAAAAAAATTTTTTAATGAAAACAAACATTCAGACATTAATTTAGAGTGAAAATGGAATACTTATAATGATTTTGACAAAATTTTTATTTTCACAAAAAAGCTAACATCGTATACTCACAAGGGTCACTAGTGTCTCACGTCGCCTTAAACTGCACGTCAGTCATAGGCAGATTGATGACCGGGATCGCACCACCGCGCATAGATCCCCCCCCATCACAAACTTTTTTTACGCGGCAATAACAAACGCCGGATTGACCGAGCTTACGAGAAACTTGCACGCTCGGTCACTAGTTACCCATATTAGTACGGTAAGGATTAAGTCTGCGGTCGATTTGGACGCTCACGCGCTTTAAGCGCTTGTAACCATCATTCTGTCTTTATCATTCATTAGACGTAAAATAAGAATAGAAGTATTGAAAAGCGCTGAAAGCGTCCAAATCGACCGCAGCTTAAATTCTTTATACAAATCATAAAATTAAGTAAATAACAAAGACAGTATCACTTTTACTTTTTAATTTGATAGAATTTAACTTGGTTAGTTAAGACTATGGCTACGTTCAGTTCACGCTCATATGCTGTAAGCGTTCATGCTTATAAGCGCTGTTTTTTAGTGTTCAATTTGGTTTGTCAGTGCTCACATCAAATAAGTGAAGTCGTTCATTTTCTCTATTGTAAGCATTAAGCTTAGGCACGTAAACCGAACAATGTGAGCAATGCTTATAAGCGCTTAAATCGTGTAAACATGAAAACCGAACGCAGCCTATATCATTTAGGTTTTAATTTTTAATTTTGTATATCAGTTTTTTTTCCGAGGAGTAATAATTTTTGACAGAGAATTAAAACTGCCATTACTTGGGTTGAAATAAGAGGACCTTCAATAAGAATATTTTTGAAAAAGAATTAAAACTGCTACTTATTTGAATTGGAATTACTTGATTTGGAATAAAAGGGCTTTCAATAAAAATATTTTTCAAAAAGAATTAAAACTGCTACTTAGTTTAGTTGGAATAATAAAAAGATACGTATCGCTTAGGTTTTATTCGAAAAACATGTATATTCTTAGCGCCTTTTTTACCTTTTTTTTTAAAAAGGTAATTTTTTATACAAATGATACATAAAATTTTGTGGAATTTAACTTGGCACCAGTTGTTATAATATCAAATCTTTTATATGAATGAGATACATATCATTAGAGTTAAGTAATAAGGAAAGATATTACCACTTAGATTTCACTTTTAATATATATCTTGGTTAGATAAGACTGTATCATTTTGGTTTTAATTTTTGATTTGGTACAACAGTTTTTTTCGAAGAATAATGATTTTTTCGAAGAATAATGATTTTTGACAGAGCATTAAAGCTGTCATTATATATACTTGGGTTGGAATAAGAGAATCTTCAGTAAGAATATCTTTGAAAAAGAATTAAAACTGCTACTACTTGGAAGTTAATGAAATAATAAAAATATACGTAACGTATCACTTAAGTTCTATTCGAAAAGCATATTCTTAGCGAATTTTTTTACCTTTTTTAAAAGGGTAAGTTTGTACTGATATCACGCATTTTGTATTAACAAATACCAGCATACAATTTTGTTTGCATCTGATCTCCTTTAGTTAACAAATATTATGATGATGGTCATCTGTATTTAAAATGAAAATATTTTCAAAGAAAAATTAAAGTTACTAATAATAAATTAACCTTGCATTAGCAGAATTTAACTTGGCGCCAGTTATTGATATCAAATCTTTTATACAAATGATAAGGCCGCAGCACAGACTTTTGCATAACGCATAATGCATAGTGCAAATCAATTAATTTATTTACAGAATTTGGCGAAAAATAAGGTTATATGAGAGCTATATTAAGTAAATTATTATTCAATAAAGGTACCATCTATGAAAATCAAATTTCTTTAGATGATCATACATACTGCGTGTTACATTTTACATTATTAGTTTTTTCTACATTAGAACGTGTACTGCGTCTAATTATCCTTTTTTTTAAATCCAGTATTCGTGAGTTTTACTACGGTCCAGATCTCACAATGTCGTTTTCTCTCACTCCAAGTGCCGCCGCACGTCGCGGTGCGAGCAGCAGTAATGCCGGTATGATGCCTATATCACACTAGCGATTGGAGATTGCGTCTGCGTTCGCGTTTGCGCCTGCGATTATTTTTCGACTAATCAGAAAAGAGATGCTGGCGATTGCGATTCACGATTTCCGTTTAGACATCTGTCTATTTTTCATAATCGAGACGCAGACGCAACTAATCATAAAGCGACTTTGTAGTTATGTGACCAGTTCATGTATCGAAACGAATATTGGAGACAATACCTCTTAGAAAAATGTGAAATCTATAATTCAGTGATGATGCAAATATAAAAATGTGAATTCCTTCTTTTATAATTTTTTATTTTTTTCATTTGCGTTGCAGGAAATGTCTGACAAAATGTAATCGCTAATTGTCACTAGTGTGATTGAAAAACGTCTAATCGCAAACGCAAACGCAGATGCAATCTCCAATCGCTAGTGTGATACGGGCATTACATCAGCGATTGGAGATTGCGTCTGTGTTCGCGTTTGCGTCTTTTGACCAATCGAAAAGGGCCTGCTCATCAGCAGTTTCGTTTTGATTGGTCAAAGGACGCAAACGCGAACGCAGACGCAATTTCCAATCGTTAGTATGATACGGGTATAACGTCTACTCCGCTAGGCATCGTGTCATAATGAATTCTCAATCAGTTAATTTTAATCGAATTTCGATACGTTATATAATAACTTGTCAAATTACCTAATAAGTTAAAATAATTTTAAATATTTCATATTAATACGCGTGTTTGATGCACGTCATAACACACGACAACGGCGTGCAGGACTTACACTCGTAACGGTGTAAACGGTATTTCTTGCGGCGCTTGGAATGGAAGGAAACAGCATCAAGATCCGAATTCTGGTTATTACGAATAACTAAACTGTCTGAAAATGCTCTTATTCAGGTACGTTTATTGTATCATCCACTCGTTATTTTATACTGAGTATTGTAACTTGCTTCTCTTGATTGAGAATAACGTATGAATTTGGCAAGTTGACAATTACAATACGCATACTCGTACATACAATATAAGCATAAACAATACAATTCCTAGGAAATATGTGAGCGGTAAATTCAGTAATATAAAAAAAAGTACATGCGGAAATGTGAGTTACGTGTCTACTGACATGACGTCGGTTAAGCAAGAACTTCGTACAATTCAGAAACACGTCACGATGATAACATCTCAATTTCGCGTTTACAAGAAACTGTGTCCTTAAAACTGTTTCTATTATATATTAATTGCAACATGCTTGGGATCAACTTGCAACTAATGTAGAACCAGCTAAACGCGTGCGTCTCTTTGAAGAGACGATTTTACATGCATGTTATGAAATTAGTCTCGCTCGGATTCACATGTATGTTACAAAATTGATATCAGATTAAAGAATTGATACAGTAATTTTAATTTAATTTCACGACTTGTAACGATCAAGCAATTCACGAGCTCAATCAGGCTAAAAAAATATCTTCGATCGATCAACTAAACGCATTCAAAGAATATCATGGATTCAAGGTAAAGGCTGAGAAAAATTGATAGGCTCAATTACAATGGAATATCTTCGATCGGGAGTATCGTCACGCGAGCGATATTTATTTGCGAATTATTAAGATCTCAACGGATTCGCGCATCATCGCTGCGAAAGTATTTTCGTGGGAGATCGGCAATTTATTTACGTCGGGCAATCACGCGCGGTACGCATGATACACGAACGCTCGACGATACGAAGATTCCCTTGAACCTATGGAGAAAAGGTTAAACGGCGTGATAGCGTCTCATTTATTGGATCTTCCTCTCGAA